CACTGCAAGGTTAAAGCAGCCTCAAAATGCAAGCTCTGTTTCTATTCCTCAGTGGGGAATTTATGTTAAAACATTGAATGCACTCAAACAAGAGGGGACAGGGGAAAGTGTTGCAGCATCTTTAACATAAAAATGTAGGAAAAGATGTGTGTCATATTGAGAATACTTTACTAACACCATTTAAATTCAGACGACCTCTTTTGAGTGTTAAGTTTAAGTAAATTTCCTTGATTATCATGGTAGAATTTACTTTTCCTAATGCTTGCAAAATCATCATGGTGTCATGTTCGCAAAAAATAGGTCCTCTTGTTTTTAGGTTCACCCGTAACTAGAGGCTGAGAACTGAAAACGGAGCTGCTGACTTTATCTTGTGCTCTTTTCAATGCTTTCTGGGAAGCTATTGATTCACCCAGTTGCAATAGTTAATGGTGACGGTAGACGCTAATTGAAACCTGGAAAGGAAAGTATAAGGTTTCATATTCCAGTAGCGCCCGGCATTTAAACTAAACAAAAGTGAGTTATGCACTTATTAATCACTCATTGTAGCCCTTTAAGCAAATATTTAAAGTAACAAGTTCATCAACACATCAAGGATGTTCCTTCCTGAACCCGTTCTGCTGTTTATAGCACACCAACTGTAGTTTAATGCTGAAATCTAGACAAGGTGCTCCCACACAGACATTAGAGACAGCTAGAGCCGGTGGACAGCTGAGTAAAGAGGGAAGAGCTCTTATCACAGGACAAACGTGACGGATCAAAGGCTGAGAAAGCAGAAGGTCATAGGTTCTCATGTGAAGAAGAGCATCTGTCTCTGAATCTTCTCCTGGTTACCCCTACGGACATTTCTGAATGGTTTCTTGTACTTCTAAAATATTTGAAGACACTTGATTCTTGTCCGGCATGCAGGGGTGTGTCTAGACTATTTGGACTGGGGTGGCCCAGCCCAGGAATAGACACATACAGGGGTGGCATGACGTACATGTCTAAAAAGTATTTTTTTATGTCTAAATGCTAACATTGATTTGGCACAGTTGTAAAATGATGACGCATAGTTTTTTTTTTTTTTTAAAGAAACAGTGGGGGGTGACAATTGCAGCCTGAGTGGCCAGATAGTTGTCAAAGGGAGGCTATGCTACTCCAGGCACTCTCTTTTAACAGCTCCTGCTTTTATGCCCATATTACGTTTTTACAAAATAGAAAGCAAACAATGTTGTTGATCTCTAAAGCAACATTTTAAGTTTCTCAATCCTCCTGTAATTCCTGTATTAGCTTCACTCTGTGGCTAAATTTCCTGCTTTGACAGGGTTATCCTGTTTGATTTTCACCCGACTACATTTTGCCCTTTATGTTTATCTTCTGGTCCTGCAGCTCAAAAACAGAAACCGTGTTGGTCGTGCATTTGTTACGCATCCCTTTTCATTTTAACATGATTTGTCATGATTTCAACTTTAACTGTCAATGGCCAAATTTACAGAAATGGTCAAATTTTCTTGCCTAAATCAAATGATACTTTTTCAAATGTCTCAGCAGTAGTCTGAGTTTATTTTTCAATATTTTGGAAACTTGAAAGATATCATTCCCGTATTTTTCAGACTATAAGGCGCACTTAAAATCTGTACATATCCTCAAAAATTGACAGTGCACCTTATAATCCAGCATGCCTTATGTATGATTACTTGTTGTGCTTACTTCCTGATTTTATGTGGTACAATGCGCTCAAAAATCTGTTGAAATGTTTAAGTATGTCTTTGGTAAGCAACGCAGCCGCTCCGCTCAATGATATTCGGAGCATTACGATACGCTGTGTCACTACCTGATCGGCCCCTTGACAGGACCCCTGAGTAGTTTACAAGACTGCCTGACTGTAATGTCCAAACTAGAAGTGCATTCATGTAAGGTAGCCCAGGCCTGAAGTACACGCCAGCAACAATAAACCAATCAATGCTCAATGCACCTTACAGTCCGGTGTGCCTTATGTGTGAACATAGACACGTTAATTCACAGTGTGCCGTATAATCCAGTACGCTTTATCGCCCGAAAAATACAGTAGTTTGAAGAATACCAGGGGACCCAGCACTGACCCTTGTGGAACACCACAGTCAATCTTTGATTTATTTAAGATTGAGAAGACATTTCTTTTTGCATATCATGCCAAACTGGTAACTTTTTATGAATGAGGAAGCTCAGTCTTCGATACCATATCCCTCAAGTTTTTCATTGATCTGAAATATTTAAGTCCGTTTGTATTTTCCGCATGTTGGGTGCAGCAGACTTCATTCAGCCCGTTTGAAGGAGGTTGTGAAGCAGACGGTGTATGTATTCCTGTTTGTGCATAAGTGTGTACGTATGTGTGGGCGTGCAGCCCCATGTCTGGCCAGCCATGGCCACATCTGTTTGTCATGTTAGCACTTAAGCGCCTCCAGGAGCCACGATACTAAGTGGAGACAGAGTCCTCTCTCCCACTCTCTCCATCCTCCCCTTTCTCCTAATTACATTTGTTCATTAATCCATTTTCTGCCCACTTCTCTTTCTTGTTTATGTTCGTGCTCCAGTGGGCTTTAGCCTCCTCTGACCAGCAGACAGTGACCTTTAAGGAGATGCCAAAAGACTCTGTAAGACAATGTTACCCCTTCACCCTTTCACCATGCACACGCACATACACACAGACACACACGCACACAGCGCAGCGCAGTCAAATCTTGGCCCCTCAGTATCCCCTCAGGCCATCTCCTTTAGAGAGGCTAATGGAGTTAGCCTAATGTCTGCACAGCGCCAGCCATAAAACTGATTTGAGGCTAAAGGCTTGGTGCCGAGACCACCACTCTGCTTACAAAAAGGAGAGATGTGAGTGAGATGTTAAAAGAGAGCGAGTGTATCTTTAGAGGAAAAGAGGTTGGGGTGGCGACGGTGGCGGTGAGGGGCAGGCTGGCGTAACTAAGGCAACTGCAGACAATCTAATTGGTATTGACATCCTTGTCTCGGAGGAAATTTGACATCTAAGGGCAAATCATTCTATTTAGTCGCCTGAATAGTCTCCAAGGCGGGGCCTGAGGAGCACAATCGCGCTGTAGCGTTGTTCTGGTCCTCATGTCTGGGCCGGCTCTGCCATGCAGCAATCGATCCTAATCCGATCGGGGGAGGGAAGGATAAGCGGTGTGGGGAGAAAAAAATGACAATAAAATCAAAAGCTCTGTTGGGGTAATATTTAACAAGAGAGAGTACAATCAGGCCCTGGCGGGGCGGCAGCCTGTAATGCACTTGTGCTGCTGTGGCGTGGTTAATGTAAAGAAAAACCTGGGGAGTAATGGCTCTTCAGCCAAGGTGGCCGGGCTTCAAAGAAATCTGCTTGCTTTAGCTAAAAGACTGGCAGGCCGGGCCGCCAAAGACCTTCATTCTGTTAGAGCATCAAATGTGGCCCCTGCTCAGGACACACAGACACTCTGATTTTATTATCCTCACTCCCCTGAGAAACTCATCTCATCCCTCTTTTTGTTTGTGTGACTGACCATCAATGTGGAAGAGTGAAGTGCTGCTGTCCATCAAAAGGCGCACGCTGTCTTTTTTCTGGGTCAAAGAGGAGTGAAGGGTATATACAGGATCTCTGAAGTCATGCCAATACATACAGGAGCTGTTTGAGTTCAATTTTCATTAACCAAATTCAATCAGATTTACAAGGCAAGTTAAAGTACTATTATAAAATGAGCCGTAAAGACTAGTTTGGTTGTATTTTATACATATATTTACTGTATATATGTATATATATATATATATATGTATTTCAAAGCTAAGTAAATTCAGAAATGATGTAATGTTGTAAACTTGACAGAGTTGAGTCAAAAATAAAGAAATTAGTATATTGACGATCTTCCTTCATAATTAAACTTAAACTGTTGCCCCCTTTTGAAAAGGGATAATGTATAGTAGACAAATTTATGCTGACATCACTGTCTTATGGAGCTTTGCATTGGACACACGTTCAACATAGATGAAATAAAAGTCACAACTTTTGACATGGTTGCTATTTTCCTTCCCTCCAGTTTGGTGATGCTGTCACTAGCTCTGTTGCCCTTGGCCTGGATTGCAGGACAGGAACCTACTTCAGTGTGAACAGGCGGAGGAATGATCTGACACGAAATACATGATCGTTTTTCCTAGCTTGGTTGTGCTGAAATTAACTGCTTTTGGTAACAAATTTCATCAAAAAATCTGATACACCAACCTGCTCACTATACATTATCTCTTGCATGTAAAACAGAAACATAAATGCATTAATTTGACTACAAGTATCAGTACAGGACAATGATTTTTGGCTTTGCTGCCATCATATATGTGGTTTATACCCAGTATTTTGGTAACAGACAACAAAATAACTTTAAAGCTCCTGTAAGGAACTTTAAGTTTGTGTAATTTTGGCGCCCCCTGTCGACAAAGCAGCCTTTGCTTGTCTTATCATTTACATGTTATACTCATCCTCTGGCAAAAAAAAAATCTCATCCTACTGACTTTTCACTTTTGGGAATATCTTACATAAAAATTTTGAAACCTTGCAATTTCTTTAGCGACCGCACTGACACCTATCCCCTCACATCAATTTCAGCATTAAAATTACAGAATGGAAACTGTCAGTTTTGTTTTTGATGGTCTTGTTTGCTTTTGTGTATTATAAAAAGGCATCAACATGAATTTCAGTCTATTTCAGAAATGTCAAAACTCCTCACAAGAGCTTTAAGTAAATAAACTTTTGAATTAGGTAGATTTTGTTCAATAACTCCAGCGTTGTTAGGAGGATCCTGACCTCTGTATTTGGACCAGGTACACTCAGGTAGCTGAGTTTTAGGGCCATATGATTTGGACCATCTTGTGTGATATTTTTTGTGTGTGTGACATTATAAGTGTGATTGGAATGGATTGATAATTTCTAATTTGTCATTGAAAGCTTTATCTCTTTGTAGGGTTGGGGTTACTGGGTTTGAAAACGCAGCATTTGGTCTAGTATTATAGGAATTAGAGTTGGGATTACTGTCAGGGTCTGGTTAAGGATTAAATTAGCGTTACTAGGTTAGTCTAATGGGTAAAAATTAGGAGCTAATTTGAAGTTGACTGTAGATTGAATTTGGTCCAAAGAAAACAGAAGTTCAGTCATGTTCCTGTTTGTGTGTGTGAGTGTGTCTTTGTATGTTTGTTGTGTCTGTACATAAACTAAGAGGCGGTGCAGTGAATAACCAGAGTGAGGTTGTGTTCACATGTGCATGTTTGCAGGCATGCTATGGAGTGTGCGCACACACACTTAGATGCAGAGAGAGTGTCTGAGTGTCTGTGTAAGTATGTGATGAGGGTGTACTGAGCTGATGGCTGCAGATATCACTCTGAGATACTTAAGTCATAAAAGTGTGTCTCGGAGCCTCTTGGCTTTGCAGGCCTTGGTGCCTGATGTTATCAGAGCCAAACAGTGGCCTCGCTATCAGAGCAGAGGAGTACAGAGGCATTCCTGTATCTGTGGAGCTGCTGCCGGGCCTGTAGCTGCGACTGGGGGCCGGGACGGTGCAGGCTCAGAGCGCTGCAGGAGCACAGGGAGTGGTGTGAGAGGTTGCCACATTGCTCAGTCGCTGGATTATTTACAGCAGGGTGTTATTAGGGCTTTGTTGTGCAGGCTTAAGTAGACTAACAGGCCAACAAAAGGATGTCAAATGAAGTTTTGTGTTTCAGCATAGCCTCATAAATCTCCAGGGTAATAGCAAAGGCACACCTCCTAAAATGTTCACTGTAACTTTCATTATTTACCCAGAGCAGTTTAAGTTATTAAATCGACACCCTTGTTTTTTCACGACTTTGTTTGTTTTAACAGCACCATCCTAACGCCCAACTGTGTGTGTTACAGTGAATCAGGAACACAGAACTCTTCTCTAATTGCAGCAGATAAAAGCACCACACACACGACAGGTGTTGTTTTCTGACTCAGATGAGGTGAGGTAGACTTTGGTGTTTACCAGCAGGCTGGCCTGGTACTAAACTTATACTTCTGTCTGCATGAGCTTACATGAAGAATCACATTTGATGGCATCGACATCATACAAGAGAAGAAAGTCTCTTCCATGTTCCGATACGATACCGATACTGTAGCCTTCTGTATTGGCCGATATAGATATTGATCTGATATTGGCACAAATTTGTGCATGACAAGTTTTGCGCTCAGCTACAATGTCTTTTTTGGACTTTAACAAAAAATACTGCTGGCCAACATCACTCCTACTCCTTGCTACTTTGTTAGTACCTGAGTACACACTGTTGTTGTGATCACATGGGCTCTGCATGCTAGATCCGGGTGCTGCCATACAGAGGTGCCAGAGCGGAGTCTGAAATAGACTGTATCAGAGTGCTGATATTGCAGATTTTATACGCAGGTTGATATAATCCGATATTCGTTTTTTGCTGATATTGGACTGATATCAATATCGTATCGGGAAACCCCTACTACCAATGCCTATATTTGTTGCACTGTCACTCCCCAACACTGGTATTAGGCCACTTATTTCAAGTCGTAAACATCCATATGGAGCCTCAGAGGATTTGATTGGCATTTTTGTGACAGTATGTGGCACCATATTTCTTGACTACTTGATTGTTTAAAGACTGTGCCGCACTGACAACCATTATTCATTCAGCTACTTTTGAGACACTCTTTGAGGACGATCGCAAGGGTTGAGTATCGTTTGATTTTGAATGATTCCAGTTCCAATTCCTCATTTTGATTCCGGTTCCTAACGATTTTCTATTCCAATTCTTTTAAAAGTCAGGATATCAAAAATAAATGCATGGTTTAAATGAGGATGCTTACCTGAGTTCTTCTTTTTAGATGAAATTTCTGAACTTCTCCATGAATTTTTACATTATATGAACTTTTTAAGAACTTAACTATGAATTTCTCACAGGGCTTTTTTCAACCAGTACATAAATATCAATTTTTTTTGTCAGGTCATTTGTCTATGAAAAAGTATGAGGGCTAACATTAGTTGGATATTTAAGTTGACCCACCGTACACAGTACAGTTTGTTTGCTGCTTCAATGTTAGCAGAAGACAGAAGTAATTTATTGTTTCACTAGCAGAAGACCGGCGAAGCACGTCAAAGACGGGGCACTCAGGTATTTCTCCTCCATGAATCCTAAGGTGTTTAATCATGTTTGTTGTTCACCCTCCTTTGCATGATATAATTTTATTGCTAATGTTGCACTGAGATAAGGGTTAATTCTTCCTGTTCGGTGGCTGTTTCTTCGGAAGAGAAATAGAGAAATGTATAATAAATAGAAATATTTAAGGGTAAACCCCAATTTTCACTGCATCCGGAACAGCTCTGGTCCAGAACGGCAGCAGTTTTTGCCGTCCGCCAAGTCCTACCGGATCCATTTGTGAGGTGAATTTTGTGGTGGATTACAGACAGCATAGGCTAACCACATAAGCCGTAGATTGTGTCCTTCCTGAGGAGGAAATCTACTTCTAGACTTCTAAAATCAGCATCCCCTCATCCACGGTGTAATCAGGATGATCTGCTATCTATAAACCTTTTACTTGTTCTTCCCTGCCCGTTTGCATGGTGAGAAATACGATCCACCTGAAATACTCTGCTTTATTTTAAAAAGAAGCCGGATGTTTTATTTTGTGTCTGTGCCCGACTTCCTTTCCAGCACGGGTTAATCTGTGCTGAATTTATCCGGCATGCTCCGGCGTCCAGAATAAATAGAACTGTGGAGTCTGGCGATCTGCAGCAGAACAGAAAAAAAGCCGGTGGAAATTGACATATTAACTTGTATGGATACGATCAACTACGATCGGCGGATTCAGCCTTTTTGTAGCAGTTCCAGATACGGTGGAAATTGGGGGTAATATTTATTTATGGTACTAGATTTACATAAATAAATGCATACCTCCATAAGCTCCTTTAAGCATGTCTTTACTCATTTTCCCTCTCTCTAAGCATTAGCACCCTCAGTGCAGAAGTCACAGCTACCCTGACAGACACTGCATATCCTCACATGGGGTATCAGCACCTCTCAGGCCGCCGTTTGCCAGCAATTGTCTCTGGTCTGGATTAGTTTTTGTATCCAGTTACCGACTTTTATTCCTGTGGAGTCAAGTTCAGCATGGCACTGAGGGCCAGCAGCACCGCTGAGAGCCCGGTGATTTATGTATTGCTGAGTGAGAGGAGCAGGTTCAAGTCAGAGGTCTCTGGGCAGGGTAGCGTGCTATATTCATTTGTGTGTGTAAGTAAGACGGTGTGTATAAGTCACTGTTGCTCTCTGCAAACATAAATGTGTGTGTACGTTTGAGAGGCTGCATGCGAGCCAACCCAAAGCTCCCGGCAGGGTGCTGTGGTCTGTTTGGCTTGGAGCGACTCCATTTGTTTGACTGCGAGCATGCCGGGAAGAGTTTTGGTGTCGTAAAAGTAATGACGGGCTCCGAGAGAGGGGATCATCTGTTTATGAGCCGTGCTGATTAGTATAGGAGTGACACTGACAAGTCAAACAATGACATGTTAAAGTTTTTGAATTCTGGACTTCAAAGAAATGTGTGTGTGTGTGTGAATTTATTGAGGCAGCAAATTTGAAGATGTCAGTCATGTGGGTCCAGCTGTTGTGCCTTATTATAAAGCTGCGGAATTTCATTCATACACTTCCCCCGATACAAACTCAGAACTTTTATTTCTATTCTAAAAGTGGATCATAGTTTGTTGTCCAAACTTTCTCCTACTAGTGTGTTTTTGGTTGTTAGTCCTACAAATGTGAGACATTTGACGGCTGTGACTCTTTTAAAATAAGTATTAGGGTAATCTTAAGTGGCCTAATGTATCCCATGCCATTTTATTCCTATTCCCAGGTAAAAAGGACTACCTGTCAGTTGATTTATAGAGATTTGGTCGTCCTACCTAAAGCGACAGGGTGACCACATCCCCAGGGGTTGCTAGTTAGTTACCTGTTCCTGAGCAGAAAAGGCAGGGTAATGCACATAGGCTACATAGTAGGCTTATTCTTTTGAGTAAAATACATCTAATGGGGCGCTCACACTAAGCTAAGTAAAATCATCTACTCGCTTAATTCGCGTGAATCTAGATGTGTGAATAAATAATATTTACCTACTTCATTCACTCGTCAACGGTAATTTCAATGGTAATCTCTGCCAATTTAACCAACAGGATCAAGTGGTAGACAAAGGATTTTTACAATTTACCAGTTAATCTGACCTCCTCACTCACTTTCCTCCAGGTGAGCTCCTTTTTATTCCAGTTTCGGTAATTGAAAGAAAAGGTATCATTTAGTTCGGGGCACCCACACACCGACACGATCAGTTTGTCCTTCATTTCAGATACCACTGAACAACCGTCCATTTTCATACGTCATGCGGCACCCTTTGTGCTGATTAGTTATTGCAACGTGAATATCTGCTCAAGTTGAGACATTTTCAGCTCCCGCCCAATTCGCGTCATTCGCACCACCAGAGTAGTCAGAGCGTCTAATTGTGTCTTCGCGTTGACTTAACATGTAATTCATTCACATGAAAGATTTTACTTGCTCTTGGTGTGTGGAGACAGAAAGACATTTCGATTTGTTTGTCCTTTGTTCAAATGGGTGTTGAGCGTGAGATGAAACATTTTCTCGGTTAAAACACAAACCAGAGAGAGCAAGCTGTCACGAGTGGGCCAAGAATCAATTAAGGTCTATTTAACACAGCCCAGGCTTTTGCTTTTGCCAATATCTCCATATTCCTTTGAAATATGATGTCCTGAAGATGAAGCCATATTTACTCTCGATGGTGCATTTTGGATCCCTGAGATATTTGAAAATGGGGGCATCTGTCCTGTGGCCTGCTCTGCCATCTGGATGAGACAGGACGGGGAAAGGATGTTAATGCACTTCATGATGAGAAAGGAGGATGACACCTTTGACCCTCTCTAGCCTTTGACCCCTGCAGCCGATATGGAGCCACTGACGCTATGGGTTTCCTATATCTAGCATATGCTGGCCGGGCCGATATGTTAAAAGAAATTCCTCATTTGCCACACAGTGTTTATATAGCCGCTCCCCCATGTTGTAAACAGGCAGGCTGTAAGAAAATAGATATTTACTTCACAGGCTTTCTATTTGATTGCAGGAGGAAAAATTGACATGCATATCGGATATATTGCTGTGCATATGGTCACAAATGCAAATGAAATACCTGAACAGTGTATAAGTAAAGGCTTGGAGTTCAGATTTCTTTGTATACTCTTGTACCCCCTGTAATCATTCCTCTACATGTGTACGGGTGCATGCACACCCAGCAGAGATTGGGTGTGCACATTTTGCAAGCCAAACAGAGTTTCAGTTACATCCACAGAAGCACACAACCACAGAAGCACACAACCACTGCTATGTAAGAAGATCTGATCCTAAATCACTGCTGCATTTCCAGGAACCACCACTAGAGTGACAATGAGGACAAAAAAACCCTCCATGACGATCCCTGTGAGCCCTTCAGTGGCAGTTTCTCAGGAAACTGACATACATATAGTGTTTCCCTTGGGGTACAGCCAGGGAGCCCGAGGTGGCAGAGTCCAGGGTGCGGACGTGGTGGGGGTCTGTTCCCTTCACGTGTGAAGCTGTGGTAGCAAAGCCCCTGTCATTCGCAGTTCGCGGGCAGTGACAGATCACTTTTCCACGCTGAGATTTAATTAGAAATTAGAGTGCACGCCACCTTTGACCCATGGTCATGCAGCACTCTTGTCATGGAGAGGAATTCTGGGCTTATTTGGGAAGCCGGCTCGATTTAACATAAAATAATAAAGCTCCAATGAAGCTGCTGTTGCTAATTTTATGATGAGACACTTAATAGGACTACAAGGGATGGTATGAATCAACAAGTTCAGTGCACAATTAAATTTACTGAAGAGGTTGTTTGAAAGTTTAGGGGATACATTAGAAAAGGGAAGCTATGAGGTTTACTTGGATTTGGAAAAGGAACCACTCACGCATGCAGAAAAACAGACCCTGCTCCTCTCTCACTCCTATAACTGACTTGAAGCACCTAAAGAGGTCCTTTTGTGAATCAAAACAGTGTTGTGTTTTACTTTCAGGTTAGATCCTCTCTGAACAGGGATGAGAAAAACGTGTCAATCAACGCTGGGTCCCTCCCCTTCCTGCTCACATTGAACCATAGCACCGATAGCTGCTGGTCCGGGCTGCATTTCCAGTCATCTGGCTGGTCCCGTGTGCTAAACATTGACCTTGTGACCTCTGCTCATGACCCCTGACCTGTGATGTTGACCCCTTGTCCAGGGGGATGGGTCCCTTATATATCTCAACTGGCTGTCTCCATTGACTACCTGCCAGGCACCTGCTCTGAGAAATGAAGCCAAGGCGAATGCCTCTCCTGGGAGCCTTTTGGGCTCAGCAGACAACAAGGACCCGCCTCAGCCCTGCATGTGAAAAGGCTTTGAGTGGCCCTGGTAAACCAATCTCCCTAATTATCTATTGAAAGAACATTCTTTTTCCCTGCCCAGTCATTACCTTGATTTCAATTGCTGAAAAGTAACATGGAGGAGCTAAAAGAAAACAGAGGGGAGGGAGAGGATGTGGAAAACATACAAGCATGCATGTGCATGCACAAGCACACTTAGGGGACATATAGGAACACAAAAGACTGTGTGTCTTCCTGGTTTCATTAAGGTTAATTGTAGGTCAGAGGGAGCAGATTCGGGATATAAATCCTTGATACGGGGTGCAGGTCAAGGCAATGAAGAGGAATTAAACATGAATAAATGGCCTTTAGCTGCACTTTGCTGCAACAATAACTGCTCTTAGGGCAGGCTGCAGGTTCGCCCCCACATCCATTACTCAACGTCAAAGTTGAATAGGTTTGTTTTGAATCTTGGTATAAAAATAAAGCCTTATTTTAAAAGAGAACCATAAACTCTTCATGAGTTGATCTTGTACGATAGAGTCAAATAGCATTGATATCCCATAATGAGAAATCTTTGTCAAAGAGAAGAGGAGATATGATTCTGCCTGAACACTGCTGAAATAAGCAGAAACATCACATTTATGTAGAAATGAATACTAAGGAATGTGAAAATATGATAAAGCAAAAGATAAGGTGTGTGAGATACATACTGTATTTATTTCATGGATCAAGCATCGAACTCACAAACATGCTTGCAAAGGGGTCGTGTCCTTTTGTGTTGTGCAAGCAGCCACATAAGCATCACCCAGAGGTACCTAACAGCCAGCACAGGGTTTTAACTGTGTCCAGTTTGTTTAGAAGGTTTTTTTCGGCCCTTATATTGTCCTGCCTCTTTTGTAGCACAAACACATCCTCACTGATGATCCAATTCTCAGCGAAAACCCAATTAAACCACTCCAAAACCTTTTCTCAGCACTCTGCGAGGAACTTCAGCAGGAGTTTTGAAGAGCTAAATCTCGCTGCTGCGCATCAGTTACCATGGTTAAGACTGTCTGCATGCTGCACCGCTGGGTAAAGAGCACAGAGATAGTCGGTGAAGAGTGGGCTCTCTGGGCTTTAGGGTCGTTCTCAGAAAGCACTCAGGGCTCGCATGCAGTCACCGTGTAGTGGAGGAGATAAGAGGGGACACAGTTACCCTTTGAAACTAAATATAGGTCATGGCGAGCTGCAGTGAGGTTTGTGTCTCATGCTCATAATGTCTCTTGTTTTGTCTCGGGTTTACTTCTGGTGTTGTAGGAGTTACATGACTCTGTGTTGGGAAAGTGTTTTAACATCTGCTACCAAAAACAAAAAGATAAAGATGTACGACATGAACCCTCTGATGCACAGACACCAGACAGTGTAGCCTACAGGCAGTGAGGATATGGTGTGTTGAAGCGGCAGGAGTTCCCTTTTATGTTATTTAATGTTTGATTTAGTGACAAAAATATTCTGCACAGACCAAAAAAGTCCCACATGTGAGTTTATAAATGTCCTAAAAAGACCTAAAGGGTCACTGGAATAAGACGAAGACTTGATCGACTCGTCTTTTTTCCCCAACAATGCAAAACCTGTAGAGCCGAGCATATCATCTTTATCTTGTGCACAAGTGACTTTCTTTTGCACACAAGAGAATTATCTTTTGTGTAAAAATTGTTATCTTCTAAAATATGCAAAGTAGGTAGAGTGACCAGAACTAACCTGATAAACCTTCCAACAATGCAAAATACTCAGAGCTCCTCTAGTCACACTCCTAGTTTGGGTGCACAATTTGACTTGGCATTTATCTTGCACACTTAAGATGTTATCTTGTAAAATTTATGCATAATAATATGGCAGGTGAGGGGAAGATAATTAAATTGTTTGCATAAGGTAATGTACTCCCATAAGATATTATCCTGTGATGCAGTATACATGACCAATACACTTGAGATAACTTTTAGTAATTATATTCTGCATGCAAGATAATTATTTTTGGGTCCATATTTGCAGGGTTTAAGGCTCCTGTAGGGAGTTTTTGGACATTTATAAAACAGACTTAAATAAATTTTGATGTCTTATTATGATATCTAGATGCAAACAAGATCATCGCTATTAAAATTGACAATTATTCCACTTTTTTTTAGGATATTTTTTTTAGCCTCATTGTTCTTCACTCTGTGATCCCAGAACACCCATCCATACACCTCATGTCCTCTTCATCTTATGTTATCATCCTAAAATAGTTTTTTATTGTAATATTTGATGACTTTAAAGGTTTTCCAAAGTTTTTGTTTTGATAAATTTTTACAAAAACTTCTCTGCTCTAAGAACTGTGCCTAGAGAGTTGATAAGGTAAGGATTATTGGGCCTCGTCCTTTGAATTGTAACAGACAAATTTTATGACAAAAATATGGCAAATTTAATGAATAATACAATATAACCTCCACTCACTTTAAGGTGTGAAAAAGGTGCCTATTTCATCTTAAGTGATCTCATATAATCAGCCATATATGGGAGTTTGTAGACGTGCAAACCCTTTATATTATCAGATTAACTTCACCAAACACTGGAACCAAACAAAGGCCCCCAAAACTGGCAAATATGATCGCACAGTGAATCTTTCAGTACAAAACGTTTCTAATCTTACTCTAATTTTGAGTCCTCTTTGTTCCTCCTTCTCCGCAGGGTCTGTATCTCTCCATTTGTTCAAAACCCCTCTGACTCTAGTGCTATTATGGCAAAACTGTCCCTGTATTTCTATTTCCACAAGTGTTTTATGAATGCCAGCAGTCACACTTGATCTACAGTTACCTCTGACATCCAGTTGTGACCTCAGATCTCCACCAGAATGACGCTGCCAGGCTCCACTGGCTGGTTGCGTTGGTGGGAATAACAAAACCATGTCGTGATGTGGCGATGTTCTCAGCTGCTGTGATCATGCTCACAGCCTCAGTGTAGATGCTGTCAGGGACAATAAGCGCTGTGCGTTTCAGCTTTTACTCCTCTCAGCCATCTCTTTGTGGACCCTCCAGGCTCCTGTAGTCTGTAACAACACCACATAGCAGCTTTCTGCTGACATCAGACAGCTAGGACTGAGCTGAACGTGACTGCTGACACCGCAGACAGCAGGCACAGTTAAATACAGGAAATATATATCTATATTAGGGATGTAACGATATGACAATTTCACATCATGATTATTGTGACCAAAATGATCACGGTTATCAATTGAAATGTGTTCAAAATGTTTAAAAAGTACTTATACACGCCCTGAAATCATTTAATAAAGTTTTATTTTGAAAAAAAAAAAAAAAAACAATCAAAATAACACACAAAAGAACTTTTCCTTAACCTTAAATAACGGAGGAATGATAAGCTTAGAAAATTCAAGATGGGGCCTTAAAAGAGTCAGAGATAATCAACACTAGCACTAGTAATAACAAAGTACAAAGTAATGTGCCAGTGGCATAAACATTAACATACTAACAAATACATTTTTAAAAAAATGACATTCCTTATTGTGCAAATTGTAAGAATCCTCAGTGCTCAAAAAGATCTACTCTTATAAATATAAAACAGAGCAACACTACTTTATGAAACAATACAACCACATGTAAACAAATGTGTAATGCAGGTGTTTAAAGTAACAAAATATGTCAACAAATCAAATGAACCACACTGATTGTGCGTTTTCTCCACTATAAGGTGCTGCTGCTGACTTTGTTCACTACTTGAGATTGAAATGCAAAAATGTCAGCATGTTTACTTTCCTGGTTTGAGGAGTATGCGTGCAGCGCGCCTGTGTCAGAGCGTGCAGCTGCTCGTCTCAGTACTGAGCAGTCTGTGAGCTTTTCCAGAGTGCTGCAATCAAACACGGATTTAACTGTGATTAAAATTTGAAATGGTAGTACTAACCATCAGACATTTTACCGTGGTTTATCATTTTACTAGTTACATCCCCAATCTACGTACATATACTTATTTTTTACATTTGCACATCCTGGTTTTACACTCACGCACATTTTGGACAGTATAAGTTTTCAAAGGTGACAGGATGATCCCAGTAAGTTCTTTGTAGACAGTGGTTTCACAGTCACATCATTAATCTTACTTCCCAGGACCACTTCAGAGCACTAAAGGGTGCTTGTGTCTGGGGTCAGTGGTGGGGAAGGGTCTAGATAGGCTTCATGAGTACAACAATGTCAGGGTATGAGAAAGCATTACTGTTATAATTGGTCAAACAAGGCCATAACACGGCCTTAAGTAAGGCACATTATAGCTGTTTGCAAAGAGGCTGAAGACCCACCTCTGATAGGTCGAGTCAACATTTCCAATGTGGCGACTTCCCCTGATTGGCTTCAAGACTCTGCTTCACACACAACTTTGTTTGTTTGTGAGTTTCTCCTGAGAACAAATCTTAAACAACAGCCCCTCTTTTAATGGTCAAATGTATTCGTCACTGTATATGATGTGTATG